ATAGGGAATAAATAGGAAATGGCGAATAATTTCCTACGGTGGATAGTTTTCTCCTGTGACAGATGTTCCCAATTTTATGTCTAATGATTACCATTACCATATGGACTTTCAATTAAGAAAGTTTCAGAGCCAGAAATCGTAACGATATTTTCTGAATTTATTCAACCGACCAATGTCCGTATCGCTTTCACTGCACGATCGTGTGCCCACATTTCTTCGTACCATTATATCCTTGTACTCTAAAAAGAGGAATCTATCTAATTTTCTTCTTCTCCAAACAAAAAATCGATACGAAGATCGTATTAAAAATAATACAAAGTATACAAAGAAACGATACATTTTTTATCACAACCCACCTTATTCCGGGAAACAATCGCGATTGTAATTGGCATGGAGGGCATCGAGCGATTAATCCGGTCGAACACGCCTAGTCGAACGTTTCACTTTCGAATCGACAGCGAGGCGACAGTTTCTCGGAACGCTGACACCTGTTCCACGAAGCCGAACTTCAATTTTGCATGCTGGTCGCATCGCGTACGCGTGCTCTCTCTCTCTCTCTTTCATTGCAAAAAAAAAGAAAAAAAAAAAAAAGAGGCAACGGACGAAGCGTTTACGAACAGGAAGTGATGCGATCGAGAAGGTCGTTCGGGTTATATTCGCGCGTGCTAGTTTTTTCGAAGCTGAAAATCCGAGTGGGAAAAAAAAGGGGGCGAGAAAGGTCGCGAGAAAAGGAGCGAAGCCTCGCGTTCCAGCCGAGCCTCGTTTGAATAATTCGCTAGTTTGCAGGGAGGACGCGAGGTCGGTCTGGCTCTTCGAGTTGGAAAGTGTCGTCAGACCGCTCCGTCCGTTTCTCGAGCGCGTAAAACTTTTCCTCGAATGATAATAATGGGTTGTGAATAAACGCAGTGGAGTAATCGACGATTTGCGAGGTTTCGATCTCGATCGATAATGTCGCGACGCTTTGGTAATTTTCTAGTGATTTTCGGGAAAATAGTGAAAAAAAGAATAGAGGATAATTTTTTAACAAAAGGAAGGATTTTTAGAGAAATGATAAAAAAAGGTATAGGACGAAGGTTAAAAGTTAAAATTATCTTGAGATAGATTTACATTTCTTTTTTTTTTTTTTTATAATTTGATTCGGGTTACAGCGGGGATCAACTTATCTCTTATTCAAATAGACTGCAACGATATTAATTTTTGTTTATTTCCCAGCTCTGAGGATCGCATCCGTTTTGCTGCTGTCCAGAATAATAAGACGGATTTGAAAAGACGAAGGACTGGTTCGCGTCGCGAATAGGCTACTTGGCTCCCTTCTATGATGAAGTGTTTATTAGCTTTATTGTCGCTCGACGTCGTTTGACGTTTCAAGGGGAAACGAATCCCCCGTCACCGGGACACTGGACGTTGTAAAGCCGCCTTAAAGTGCCACCTCCTCGCAATTACACGCAATAAATCGTTTCGGAGCGGAGCCATTACACCGTGATCCTTTATGGCGTCTAGATAATGATCGCTTGCTATTCGCTCGGTCGGTATGGTCACGCACTTTTCCATCATTTTTATTATTTTTTTTTTTCTTCTTCTCCTTCTTCTCTTCCTCTTATTTTTTTTTTTTTCTTGCACAGTTTATATCCATCGCGGAAATATTTCAGGTCGTTCAACGAAACACGACTCAGCGCGATTCAATTAATTAAAAACGAGTCCACCGACTGGTTTCGGAGAAGTAAGAAAGGTGTCGTCGTCGTCGTCGTCGTTGTTGTTGTTCGTCTAGGGAATAATTTTCTAGTCTTCGCAGGGTAAACACAAGTGGACTCTTGCGCCTTCGAATCCGCGTCACGATGAATTCGTTCCTGAACGTTCCTGTAATTTTAACGCCCCGCCATATTTCATCGTCGCGTCTCGCTGTTACGCCGCGTTGTCCAACCTCGACGATATTTCTTTTCCTTCTCTCTCTGTCTCTCTCTCTCTCTCTGTCCGTTCCTCGACGTTAGCGATTTTTCTCGGTGAAACTTGCCGCTCCTGTTGCGCGTCTCCACGGGGATCGAAGGGTAAGGTTGGTATTCTGGTAAAGTCGAGGCTGTTACAGCCTTTTAATGAGAAGAATCGTTTATGGAGTGTGGAAGATGGAGGGCACGCATGCGATAGCTATTCGTTACGCGGGTACAACAACTTTTCCCCCCCTTTTTTTTTTTTGATTCTCTCCAAGATTCGTAAAAACGTCGATGAAAAAAATTTTTATCGAAAAGTGGAAATAAATTTTTTACGCAGTTAAACCTTTTTCTCGATACGAATCTCGAATAACAATTATTCTCGATATATTCTAAATAAAATTCCTTCAATTCACGCGTTAGTAACGTGGAAAAATACGTTCAGCACGAGTTTCCTCGATCGATTTTTTGAGAAACGGAGTTCAGTCTCTTTTGATTTTCTCGAAGATCCATGATGAAAAATTTTTACCAAAAAATCAAACTTCTTACGCAAACTCAAAGCTTTGTAAACGATGGAAAATGGATACGCAATTACATCGATATTCTAAATAAAATTCTTCAATTCACACGTTAATAGCTATAACTATTAAATTGGAAAATACGATCAACACGAGTTTTCCTCGATCGATTTCTTTTTTTTTAGGGAAGAACGGAATCAAGTTTCAACTTGAGGGAATTAGCTCGTTTACATTTCTGATACGTTCACAACGGTGTTAACAACGAAGAAAGGAGAGATGCGACGGACTGTGCGGAGCGGTCGAGCGGCATTCCTTCCTGGAAGGGACAATCGTTGGGGGAGGGGGAGGGGACACGCGTTTTGAATAATTTCCTAGTTTGCAGGGTGAGCACGATCAACGCGGTGGTCTATTGTCTTGCCAACCACTCGGAAAGTGTCACTCCTTTTCCGCCGGCGTTGACGCGTCGCCTACGATCCCCCTCCCCTCTCCACTCCCCTCTCCACTCCCCGACAACCTTTTCGTCTCGCGCTTTCGTCCACCTCGCTCGCGGGTGATTCAACCTTACCCTATGCGTCACCCTCGCGATCAATTACCTTTGTTTGTCGATCCGAGGGAAGGATGAAACTCTCGAAAACTCGAATTCGAGAACGAGAATGTTTGCCGATGTGACGAGGGGTGGGGAGAGGGGGGGAGGGGGGAAGGTTGTTAAGCGCGCCCATACCATTTGCACACAATCGTGGGTGCCTAAATTTCTGCTGTTAACATTCTAGGAACGGACTTAATAGCGAGATAAGTGTAGATATCTTGTTGAATTCTGTTGGATTGGTAAAAAAGAAAAGGGAAAGAAAAGTATTTTAACCTACTCTTGAAATCTAAAAATCGTTTTCCACGCGATGAAAATTTTCAAATTTCCCATATAAATTCTGTTGGATTGGTAAAAAAGAAAAGGGAAAGAAAAGTGTCTTAACCTGCTCTTGAAATCTAAAAATCGTTTTCCACGCGATGAAAATTTTCAAATTTCTCATATAAATGTGTAAATTATCAAGGCAGATTGTAGTTAGTGTTCATGTACTGGTGTGAGTCGATCGAAAAAAAATGGCGACGCATAAGGGTATAAATCGTGTGTGTCCATGATGGATTTATTTTATTGGAGGAGTGGGGGAAAATAATCGAAGAGGGAAAATAAATCACGCGTACGTTGACGGATTTTCCGGTTTCGATCGGCGACACGGTCGAGGAAGGGAACAGGAAGCGTGGCACGTGAGCTGCGCGCCCGATCGAAAGCGGAAGGGAGGCGGGATCCGTACGTTTTTTCGACGTTTGCACACGCGATGATTTTCGCTCTGCTAACCTCCTTGGCCTTCTCCCGCTTCGTCAGTTGCTCTTCCTCTCCATATGTGTATAGTGATTTTATATTTGGACGAGGAGGAATCGTCTCGTCTTGGTATCGAGACATCGAGGTAATTTTACGTTCGCGGAATTTTTGGAAAGAAAATTTAGGTGAACGTGTTAAAACGAGAAAATGATATTTATACGTGTGAATTTGAATTTCGTTAATTACGCATTTAAGATGACAAAATTTTATTTTGAAATCTGGGAATAAATAATCGAAACATATTTCTTTATTTCTGGAAAGAAAAATTTAATTCAATTAATTTGGAATCCGGGGAATGAAACGTGTTTCTTTATTTCTGGAAAAGAAAGTTATTTGGATTATATGTATAGCAGTGAATTTGAATTTCAATTACGTTTAAGATGACAAGATTTTATTTTGAAATCTGGGAATAAATAATCGAAACATATTTCTTTATTTCTGGAAAGTTATTTGGATTATATATATACCAGTAAATTTGAATTTCTTCAATTATGTTTAAGATGACAAAATTTTATTTTGAAATTCGAAGAATAAATAATCAAAATGTGTTTCTTTATTCTTGGAAGAAAAAATCAGAAAACGATATTTATATGTGTGAATTTGAATTTCGTCAATTACGTTTAAGATGACAAGAATTATATTATTTCTAGAAATTAATTATTTCTAGAAAGAAAAATTTAATTTAATCAATTTGGAATCCGGGGAATGAAACGTGTTTCTTTATTTCTGGAAAGTTATTTGGATTATATGTATACCAGTAAATTTGAATTTCGTCAATTATGTTTAAGATTTTATTTTGAAATCTGGGAATGAATAATCAAAATGTGTTTCTTTATTCCTGGAAGAAAAAAATCAGAAAACGATATTTATATGCGTGAATTTGAATTTCGTCGATTATGTGTTTAAGATGGCGAGATTTTATTTTGAGAATTAATAATCGAAAACATATTTCTTTATTTCTGGAAATAAAAGTTATTTGAATTATGCATACAGTGAATTTGAATTTCGTCGATTATTCAAGATAACGAGATTTAATTTCGAAATCTGGGAACGAATAATCGAAACGTGTTTATTCCGTTTATTCCCGGAAGAAAAAATCAGATGAACGAGAAAAAGTATATTTACACTCGCGCGAATTTGAAATCCATGGAATGAAACGTTGTTTCTTTATTTCTGTTGCAGAGTCGAGGCGACACAGGGAGGAGAGGCAACAAGTGAGTAAACTTTGTGTGTGAAACCGTATCGCGTGAAAAGGAGGCGCGCGTCTTCGAGAAACAATTACCAGCGTCGCGAAACAATAGGTTTCGCAACGTTTCATTAATCGATCCCCCTCCGGCTTTTTGCCGGAGCAGCGATGACCCGCTGCTTTTAAACAAACAGTGTGACAGACGTAGCAATTACGGCCGGGTTGTGCGCGATAACTCGATTGTCTCGAACAATCGACGTGGCGAAAGCCAGCCGGATAGATCGTCCATCGATGATCCACGGCCGCGCGATCGATCCGCGCATAACAATTATTATTTCCAATATTACATCTCATGGCTATTCGACGAGCAACCAAACGTTCCAAACGACGGAACGGAAACGAAAGAAATATTATCCTCTTGTTCTCTGTAATCCTCCTATCTATCATTCGAGTATTAATTACATCGAGCACACGAGAGGGAATGGAAAACGTTGTAATAATAACGTTGGAAGAAGGATTCAATTAGAAAGTTTAAACTTGGCAAATTTAGTCGGGCGAGAAAAAAAAAATTGGACGTGAGTCATCGACGGCCCACTGACTCCTCTAAACGCCGGTAATTACGCCGTAATCATCTCCCCACGTGCACTTTTTTTTTTGCGCGCGCTATCGCGTGGAAACTCAAATTTAATAGCGACGGGTTTGAGTGGCTCGCGAGCAATTTTGTTTGAAAATTAATTCCTCGAATTAATAACCCTATTATCGGTTATCCTTGCTTCCATAGTAACTCGTAACTCGTAACGATACGAAGAAGAAAGAAGCGGTTGATGTAAAAGAAATAAAAAGAAAAGAAGTTACTACTCACTCGAAGTTTTGAAATTTTCAAAACCATCACTGTTCGCACGGAGAGAAACAATTGTTTGCCTCTCGTCACCAGCAAAGTATCGTTTCTGCAAACGTATTTAATCGTGATTCTCTCTACATTACGCCACGTCTACGATAAAGTTTCGTCGACCAATTCTTGACGAAAGTATAATTTCTCGTTTCGAAGAGAGAAATTCGTTTCGCGGAAATTTTGCTTAGAGAAATTTTAACTTAATTTTAATTCCGTCCTTCCTTCCGTCCAAGAGAAAAAAAAAAAAAAATTATTTCCTTCCACGGTCAATCGGATGGAAACTCTCAGCGTTGAATCGACACGACACAATGCGATGGAGTAAGAAGCGCAGCGATAATCGAAACGTTTCCCGCGATTCTTCCCGCGCGTTAATAAGCCAACGGAAGGAAATAAAATGATTCATTGCGAGTAGGGAGGCGCGCACGTATCAACAAGTGGTGAAACGTCGGTGATAAATCAGAAGCCGCCGCTCGTGGAAAGATTGGATCCAACGTGGGGAACGAGATGCAATTTCTTGTTGCGTGGTCTGGGAGTTGGTCTGGTTTTAAGGCGGGTATCAACGAAAATAATTAATACGTTTCCACGAAGGGGGAACGATCGCGCATCCATTAACGCGATCCCGGAATGTGTTCCGCGGACGTGGCCGGGGGATCGGGCGGGGAGGGGGGAGGGCCGAAACCGCTCGTTTCTCGCCCAAGATCGATCGACTGTCCCGTTTTTATGCGTTCGTCGCGTGGTAATGAGTGCTACCTTCTGTAATGGCTCGTTGCATTAACGTCGCCTCCGACTTTAGCCCACTGTTGAGGGATATTCGAACGATCTTTTTTTTTTTTTTGGATACGCTTTTGAACAATCAGAGATGTAGAAAGATTGTAGAGTTTCTTAATTAATTTCTTGCATTGCCACTAATTATTGTAAAAATAATTCCATGAATATTTTCTTACATCTCGATCGCCGATATGGTAAGATATAAAGAAGAAAGAAGAAAGATTCCATTCAGGAAGGATAATAATAAAGAAAAATGAGGAAAAGTATAAGAATCGTGGTTTCTAATTTAACTCAATGTTAGGGATGAATGATCATGTTTCTTTTTAGAGTACACTTTTGAACAATCAAAGATGTAAAAAGATTGTAGGTTTTCTACATTGTCACTAATTATTGTAAAAATAATTCTATGAATATTTTCTTGTCTAGATCGTTGATATGGTAACGTGTAAAGAAAAAATTCCATTTAAGAAGGATAATAATAAAGAAAAACGAGGAAAAGTATATGAATCGTGGAATAATCGAAACACATCGAACAATTTGCATCGTTGCGGGATAATGAGTGTTACTTTCTGTAGTGGATCGTTGCATTAATGTCACCTATGCTCGAACGATCATGTTTCTTTTTAGGATACGCTTTTGAACAAGATGTAGAAAGATTGTAGAGTTTCTTAATTAATTTTTTGCATTGCTAATTATTGTAAAAATAATTCCATGAATATTTTCTTATCTAGATCTGGTATGGTAACGTATAAAGCTGATATGGTAACGTATAAAGAAAGGATTCCATCCAAGAAGGATAATAATAAAGAAAAAGGAGGAAAAGTATACGAATCGTGGTTTAGAATTTAGCTCACTATTAGGGATGAATGATCATGTTTTTTTTTTTAGGATACGTTTTGAACAATCAAAAATGTAGAAAGATTGTAAAGTTTTTTAATTAATTTCTTACATTGCCACTAATTATTGTAAAAATAATTCCATGAATATTTTCTTACCTCGATCGCCGATATGGTAACGTATAAAGAAAAGATTCCATTCAAGAAGGATGATAATAAAGAAAAATGAGTAAAAGTGTACGAATCGCGATTTCTAATTTAACTCAATGTTAGGGATCATGTTTTCTTTTAGAGTCTTGAACAATTTTGAATTCAAACACTTTTGAACAATCAAAGATGTAAAAAGATTGCAGGTTTTCTACATTGTCACTAATTATTGTAAAAATAATTCTATGAATATTTTCTTACCTCGATTCGAGAGGCTGGCCGATATGGCAATAGTATAAAGAGGAAAGGATTCCATTCAAAAAAAGGATATCGAACAATTTGCATCGTTTTAAAGTTTTTCGCGCGCATATTATATTCGAAAACGATGATTGAAAAAATACTCAGAGCCGCGTTTCGCGTAATAAAAATCTGAAAGCAAGATTTGTTGAATTGACGCGCAGCGACACGTAAGAATTCTCGGCCTACCAAGATTGGATAAAAAGAGAGACTGCTTACTACACGGTTAGAGGCGCGCTCTAAAAGCCGCAAATTTCTCCGAGTTGGGAAGGGAAAATACGAGGATTTGCCGTGTCCTCGCCTAGCGAGAAGAAGAAACGAGAGGATTTTTTGCAAAAGGCGGCGTTGGTGAGAGCGGTGGTCGGTCGCCGCACGCCAATTAGTATTCCCCCAGTTTTCCCTGGCTGGGCCGCCTCGCCGCTGCCACGCCAACCGCCAACGATTACTTATTCCCTTTGTTGCACCTCGTAATTACGTTTAATTAGTTTCATTACGCGCCGCGTACGCGCAATTCAAATGATTGCCGCGTGGCCGGCAAATCCGTACGCCTGTGGAAAAAAATTTTTTTCTCGAATTAATTCGCCCACCGATCCCCAACATCGATAATTATTCCTTATTCGCAAATAACGCTTCGTCGTCCTCGCTCATTTTCGTTCGCATCGATCAACGAATTTGATCAAGACAGATTCGATCGAAATTCATCGAATCTGGATAATATCAATGATACTTTCATTCTCTGCTTCTAATCTAATTTTTCTAAATAACGTAATATTATTCACTTTTTTAAATCGTTGATTCAGATAGATAGATTAGAAATTCGTAGAGATGATTTTTGAAAACGAGAATCGGAAACGGTTCTCGAATCTCGAATGGGAAATTTTTTTTATTTCTCCTTTCCAAAGCCGAAGCTTTTTTTCTAGAAGAAAAACGTATCTTCTGATAAAGGTAAAATTCTAAAAAAGAAAAGGTACAATTGGCGTCGATTCGAGCGATGGATTTAAGCGTTCGATGACTCGAACGAACAACCATCGGTTTGTACGTATCTATCGTAACTTAAACCCATTACTCGATCCTCGTTTTCTTTATCATTCTTCTCTTCTTTTTTCTTCCCTTCCCGTTTTCATTACGTCTCGACCTCCTTAAACACCACCTTAACTCCGGTAACGAAAACGGATGCTTCCCCGATGATTCACGATGCCAGTTTCGAAACTGATGGGCCCGAGAGAAGTGATCTCACCCCGTTCGACCGTGTCACGCGACCGTGCAGAGGTCGTTGATATTCCGGACGGACAGAGGTTTCGTTTGTTTCGTCTCGAGTGGATATAACCTCCACTTCTTCAACTTCGTGGAAAAACCGCGCTTCACCTTTCACGCGAAAAATAAACATACATCCTTCTCCGCCAATTCTTTCTCTCTCTCTCTCTCTCTCTCTCTCT